CGCCTCCAGTGTTAGGCAAAATTGGGAGAGTTGACGACACGCACTCAAAACTCAGTGATAATAGCTATCACTGAATCTTGGATACAACATGACCAGGATGTAGAAAGGCCCAGAGACTACTAGGCCTATATGCAAGATAGAGTGGACGGCAGACAAGGTGGAGGAGTATTCCTGATGGTCAAAGCCGATTACACACAATGGGACTCAACAGTAAAACTGACAGCACCTAATATCTAGGTTAAGGCATATAGTGTCCTCCTGGGAACACGTGAAGCTAACCGGAGTTGACGGCCTTCCGGTATGTCTTCTTACGGGTCTCAGTATGCGCGCGACCTCCTAGTGTCTCGTTGCCCGAAGTAGACAAAAACACTCGTGGGAGTCGTAAACGTTTATTGGCGAATCGTGGTACTAGATAGTACCGAAACATGCCAAGGTGACGCTAAACAAAGCAAGCGACAAATGCAGTAGCAGAGCGATAGCGTGTCACACGTGTAGCGTGGGTTTGAACAGGACCCAGCTTATATATACGTCTGAGCGGAAAACCGTGCTCGGTAAAACAAACAGAAGTAAAACAAAGAAATATCACAGTTCGAGTCAGAGTTGATTGTGAAGAAAATATGGACGGAAAACGTCCTCGTGGATTGCTCCTTTTCTTCGTACAATCATGGTCACTACAGACGAACGTAAGGAGTTCTGCTATTATATTGTGTACCGCAGGCAGAACCTACAGAAGATATGGAATTACTTTCTACAACGCCGGAATTCCTATTAAGGACTCAATAAATTTTAATTCTGGTCTACTTTAGTCTTACGGAGATCTACTGAGTAAAGGGAGAGGCTCCCATTGCGACAGTGGGAGAAACCCTTCTAACTTGGCTACATGATTATGTGCCCATTCAACACATCATGCAGGCTACAAGGTTTCGCAACCAACAGAGGGCCTCTCTGTAAAAACTACGTGGTCCAGAAATGCTTTCACTCACACATAAGTGAACGAAATAACACAACTGTCTCAGCGCAGTGGTGCTCCAAAGCTCATTGTTGCAAGAAACTGAACTGCTTTTGACTCCGCTGAAAGTCCGGTGACCTCTTCTGACCCATCTTCTTCTCCGCAGATTTCAGCGCCTTAAATAGGCTTAAAAAAGCAAGACCAGGTGGATTGTATCTCACCGTGATTCAGCCCATAGCGAGTGCATTAGTGGAACCGTTGACTAAGTTATTTAGAGATTTTCGCCCACGGTTTGAATATTGGACGTGGTTTGATCCGTAGCTATTTTGTGTGTTAACTATTTGCTTTAGCCTAATTTTAGGTATTTTTCGCTCCAGTCAGTTTTTCTATAGTTTTCTGGTGCTTTGGTGTTTTCTTCTATTAGAATCGATTGTAACATTATTCCGTGAAATTGTCACCGTCGTGGTTAGACACATGCTAAGGAGCTCCGCCGCCTATATGGTATCGACCATAGTACTACGAAAGGTATGAGTAGGGTCAGAAACGCACCGCTACCTATGAAATACCCTTGTTCATCCAAGGTCAAGGAAGGCATCTGTTGCTATGCTTGTGAAACGTGATATCATTAGGCTTGCAGTGGCCTAAAAGAGCATTGATGCCATACATGGAGCACAAAGTACTCAAGTGGGTGTGCGCAGCTTGCTTTAGACACCAGAGATGTCCGCAACAGAAAGAGTAGTCCAAGCAACACCACAAGTATTAGCTCGCTTTCAGAGCAAAGGGGCATGACGGTAATAAAGC